GTTTAAGCAGCGCTGCTGGAGTTTTTAAACCCACTCACTGTCCACTTTATTAGACACTCCTACCTTGTCAGTCCACCTTGTAGATGTAAAGTCAGAGACGATAGCTCATCTGCTGCTGCACAGTTTGTGTTGGTCATCCTCTAGTCCTTCATCAGTGGTCACAGGACGCTGCCCACAGGACGCTGTTGGCTGGATGACTATTCTCAGTCCAGCCGTGGCACTGAGGTGTTTAAAAACTGTCTGCGCAACACACACTAACACACCACCGCCACGTCAGTGTTACTGGAGTGCTGAGAATGACCCACCACCCAAATAGTACCTGATCTGTGAGGGTCCATGGGGGTCCTGACCACTGAAGAACAGGGTAAAAGGGGGCTAACAAAGTATGCAGAGAAACAGATGGACTACAGTCTGTAACTGTAGAACTACAAAGTGCACCTATATGTATGCGTATGTAGTCTGCAAAGTATAAAATGTTTACACAGGCAGAAGTAAATACTTGTCGGTCCACCCTAAAAAGCCAAAGTGGGAATTTGTGGCCTGCAGATGGTGATATTTACTGATAAGTAGAAGCAAAGACAGTATAATTGACTGCACAAACTGGAAAGTTGGATTGAATATTAATTGCATATGTGGAGTAGAATTGACAAGTTGTAAGTGTCTGTCAGAGCAGCAGTCTCTCACCACATTCCCAGCCAAGAAAAGCACAGAACCATCTCCATTTTGTAGAGTGACGACTCTCCTGGACTCACCTGAGACTGGTTACAGAGGGGAGCGTTTAGTGTGCAGGAGACTTGTGGTGTCAAGCTGTGTTACTTTGGCCGTGAATAGGTAACCAGTAATGCTAGACTCCTGTGCTCCCTCTCTAGCTCTCTCTCCCTTTCTGCTGCTTTCTCTGCCTCAGCGCATGTGTGGACAGGCAAGTTGGGCGCGCCTATACATATGCACACAGAATAGTGGTTGGATTGTTTAGACCCATCAGGTAAGGGGCGAGTGCCACCCGCTGTATTTTGGTGAGGATTAGCCTTGGCTAGGCAGATTAGACTTTGGTTTTCTTTGTTTCATTTCTTTGGCACCGTCCTCCGTCCACCCTTGCGGTTGGTTGGGTCCCCTTAGTCAATGTTCTTGCATACTTGGTGGTTAGTTAACTCCTTTTCTTTTAATCTGTACGCATTCAGCTCAGCTTGGTGTATTGTCCCTCTTTCCTTGTAAACATGTTGTTCCTGTATCAGACACTTCTCACTTTTGCAAGTGAGAAGCAAACTAAAGACTTGATTGCAAACGCCACTGCTGTGTACTTGTGTCCTTCCCTTCCGTCTCCATCACATGCCATGTAATTTCCCCTCCACCCCAGCTACATCTGAGGAGAACGTAACGTTTCTGTTTGAGCTACACTGAACTGACTCTGAGGCCCCAGCAGTGGTTTGAGTGATCAAATTTGTATCAGATTCAAATGCGTCTGGTATTTTTATGTGACTTGGCATTTCACCCCTCGCCCCTACCACTTAGCCTTCAGCCCTCTGTTTGGCATGTTCAAGTCTAGGGGTAGGGTGTGTTGTTGGGTAGGGCGTCTTAGTAACTAGCTGACTAAATTTCCCGTTCCACCTTAAATAGTCCAGTAGTACTTAAGCGCCAGAATGTAACTGCTGCTCAATTTAAGGTGGAACAGAAAAATACAAATGGGGAGCTGGAGAATAGCTGACTTCAGCTTTATATCACCAAAGAATTAGAGGTGGGCGATAACAAATAATTACTACTAATTATTAATGTGTAAAATAATTGCATCCCTCCTGAAAGCATATGATGTCCTAAAAACTTTACCCTCCTCTGATGTCACTACAGACTGGCAGGGTCGCCTACAGAGCAGCACTAGTAGCTGTTAATGAAGTAATGCTCTTTTTATTTGAGGGTCCCATTTCAAAGGGAAGATTTCAACCACTACCCTGTAAGTCAGTTGCAAGGTGACACTCAAAAACAAGTGGTAAGGGTACAAATAAGAAATGGGATGCCTTAACCCTGGTACTCAAGACGATTTAAGTGAACGTAAAAAAAAAAAAAATTACTTTACAAGCTGAACAGGGTCCTCAAGGAATGTTTGGACAGGAGGACTTTATACGTGCTCAGTGTGGTCAGCTTCAAATTAATCTGCCTCAAGCCACGTACCCAGCTAAAAAGAACAACAGTATAACTCAAAGTTAGCTTGTAGGCCTCAGTTTGGGCAGCTCTGCTAAATTACAACAACAACAAAACAAAACTGGTGGGTCATGTCCTGAGCTGGAAAAATCTATTTCCAAAGAACTGGGTGGTAAAGTGGGAACAGTCAGGAAAAACTGGTTTGGAAAGTCCTGCGAGCTCCACAGTGATCACAGAGCCAAACCTGGCCGGCTTTTTAACGGCTATCCATTATCTGAACGCTGGAGAAATCAGGAAATAAGGGTATTTTTCACATGTGCTTTCAGTAAAGGAGTGTTTGTATAGAGCTTCCCTTAATTTATAGCTCAGAACAGGACCTTGAGCGGTTTCAACATCCTAAATGGTTCATGACCAGCTGACTCTTAATTACAGTTAGGGGTGATTTGTGTGAAATGTGGAGGTCAGCAACACGTCTGAGAGGCCTGTGATGATCAGAGATCTGAATCCAATACTACAGCTACTGCATAAGATGCCAAACATGTGACAATCACACATTACCATTTTGTTTAGTTTAACAAAGTTTAAAAATCACTTTAATTGGTTGTTAAAAGAATAAACAGTAAAACTATGTAATAAAAGTATGGCTTTGTCAGTTTGCAACACTGAAGAATACACAAAGTGAAAGTACATTTCTTATTGGATCCACTGCTTACAGAATGATATTTTGTACAGAAATTCATAAAAACAAGTAACAAACCAGCAGACAGGCTTCAGGATCTTAACATGGAAGATGTTTTCATTTTCTAAAATGCAGTAAAAACAAGAATCTGTGATTTGAACCTTATTTAACTGACAAAAGTACAGTCAGGTTTTTGTTCTAACCATAGTATGGAGACAGCATTGGTTTGCGTTGTGAATGATCTCAGGCTCAGCACTGATGCCAAAATCTTTCTATTCTGGATTTATTAGATATCATTGATCACAAGATTTTAATCCAGCATCTTGAATGCTGTGTCGGCCTCGCAGGCACAGTTTTAGAATGGTTTAAATCATATTTAAGTAATAGTTCATGGTTTCAGTGGGAAATCATTCATCAAAAAGATCTGGCATTTCTTGTGGAGTCCCTCAAGGATCAGTTTTAGGGTCTTTGCTTTTCTCTTTGTACATGCTACCTCTAGGTGATGTCATTAGAAAAAATAATATATACATTTTCATAGCTATGCTGACGACACACAGTTATACATTTCTGTTCCTTCTGATGATCAAGACTCTGTAGACAGAACTGACCAGCTGTGTGTCAGATATTCTCAGTGGATGTCACAAAATTTTCTACAATTAAATCACAAAAAAACTGAAATACTGATCGTTGGTACAAAAATGCAGAGAAAGCTGCTTTGTGATCAACTTGGTTTATTAGCTTCATGTACCAAACCTGAAGTAGGAAACCTGGATGCGATCTTAGACTCTGAGCTCTGTTTTATCTGCATGTGAACACGGTCACTAAAGTAGCTTTTCATCATCTGAGAAACGTTACTAAAGTAAAGTAAACTTTTCTCTCTCAGAGCGACGCAGAGAGACTTGTTCACGCATTTGTCACAGCAGAGTTGATCACTGTAATGATCTTCTTACTGGACTTCCTAAGAAAACTATACATTCCTTACAACTCAGACAAAACACAGCAGCATCCTAACAAAAACAACACAGAGAGATCAGATCAGTCCCGTTTTAAAAGAGCTGCACTGTCTGCCTGTGTCATTCAGGATAGATTTTAAAGTTCTGCTACTAGTTTTTACAGCTCTAAATGACCTTAAAGCTCTGCTTACATCACAGAGTGTCTGTCTGTTGACCTTAGATCTGCAGATTCTGACCTTCTGCCAACACCTTCCATAAAATACAGAAAACGTGGAGAGACTCGTTCAGTGATTCTGCTTCTAAACTGTGGAGCTCAGTTGACCTTTTATTAGACAGTCAAGCTCAGTGCTCACTTTTAAGAAGCATCTAAAAACGTAGCTCTTTAACTAAGCATTTAATTACTCTTCATCTCATGGTGTTTAACTTTTAATTTGATCTGTGTCATTTTCTTGTATGACTATAAATGAATACTTATAATTTTTCTATTAATGTTAAGATTTATCACCTGTCTTAAAGCACTTTGAGCTGCCACTGGCAAGAAACGTGCTATATGTTTTTAAAATATATTATTATTATTATTATTACAAAGAAATTACTTTTGATGATTTGGCTGACCAACTTCATTGTATTTTTTAAATATAATCAATTTTTGAATTTGATGCTGCAACACACTCAAAAAATGTAAGACTGCAGGAATTGCATGATGCAATCAGGTCAACATGGACCAGAAACTGAAATGAATGTTTCCAGCATCTTGTGGAAGAATTGAATGAGAAATTGAGGCTGTTCTGAGAGTAAATTGAGGCTCTACACAGCATCAACATACTGTTCCTAATAAAGTGCTGTGGGTGCATTTTATTTGTGTGTTATCAAAAAACACATTAAATCAAATAATGTCAGTGTACTTTTTTCAGTGCACTTGTTCAGTCAGGGCTTTGTTAATTAGATTTCCTGTTACATAAAAGATTCATGCTCTGGAGCAGCTACACATGAGTCCAAGCTCACCAAGCCCAATGCCCAATGCCCAATGCCAAGCATCAGCTTAAGGCAAATAGTAATAATATATGTATCTTTGTCTTCAGTTTAACTGCTAAACATGTTTACTGTGTTCATAGTTAATCTGTGATTGTGACCCTATAATTTGCATTAATAAAAGAACTGATTCTATCAGCTCATATAATCAGTGTAACTGACTTTCACAGAGACACTTAAAACACTGACGTTCCACAAAGAAATCTTTAAGAAATGTGTTTATTAGTAGCAGAAAAATACACACAAAATCAACAGTCAGTTTACAGATAATTCAGCAATGTTAGACATATTAATCAAAACATCACTAAAATCCCGGCTGCTGCAGTGATAATAAAGCTAAAACTGCTACTGAAATAGCGAGGACTTTATATTAGCCTTTTAAAGAGGTATCCTGGATAACCCACCCTGGACCTTTGGACCTTTTTTGTTTCTCTGTTGGTGTAGTGATGTACGTGTGCCTGCATTTTTCTGTGACCTTTTTGTCCAAACCAAAACCTAAACCTTAAGAGGGAACATTAACATGAACCTGGGTCTGATACTACACAGGTCTATTTTTTGTTTCATTGTAATATTTTTTTAGTATACGAATAGAATATTTGAGATTTGAGTATGTACAGGGAGATTCACTTGAAAGAGGCCCCGAATATGCTTAAGCAAACAGTGAGGTTCAGTCCTATAAAGGATTGTTAAAAATAAAACATATTTAAAATGAATTCTTTAAACACTGTGCAGGTAATTAAAGCTGTGATATAGACTTTAGTCCTTCACCACTTGACATTAAAGATGACTCCTCTATCATCAGAAGAACCTGCAAGAATTCAGACAGAATTTCAACACAATTTTTTTTTAAGTTCAGTGTTATTGAAAAACACTAGTTCTTTTCTTGAATTACAAACAAAAAGAGTAATAATAGAGTAATAACTCATAAAAAAAGAGTAATAACTCATTATAAAGCTTACCAGTACTTCATAGGAATTCTGTAAAACAAGTAAACAATTATATTATGTAAATTACATTCATTCATCAATATTCCAGATGAATTCATGTCTGCTGGATCAACGTCTGACCTGGAGATGTCTTCTTGTAGTAGATGAATCCAGCAGTGGACAGGATGATCCCCAACACAAACCCTGAAGCTCCGACGATAATCTTGTTCATATCAGAATCAGTGAAAGAACCCTCTGTGGGACAAAAACACCATTTCATTAATGTTAAGTACCTTTTAAAAAAAAATGTGAATTTTATTGTCATCATAAACTTATTGTTATGAATATAAAACCATTTACACACCTTTATGATAATTTCACCTTGAGTTCTGTTGAATCTTTATTGACAATGTAATAAATTTTGTTCATTTCTCACCCCAGTCAATGATGATGGGCTCCTTGGAGCTGTCGTGCTCCACCACACAGGAGATCTTCTCTCCAGATGTGGGCGTGTACTCCAGGTGGGAGTGGATCTGGTAGTACCAGTTTCCATCACGCATCTCCTCAGTGGACACCACATCACCGGTCACCTTTTTACCGTCTCTCAGCCAGTACACATAGATGGCTGGGGGGTAGTAGCCATATGCGCTGCACATCAGCATGGCTGGATGACTACTACTGGCATGCTTTTCTAACCTGAGGCGGATTTTCGGCTTCACTGCAAATATCAGATATTATTAGTGCATTTATAAAATTATTTTTAAAATGACCAGTTTTTTAATCACTGATATAAAGTAAACTATGACACTGGCAGATGAAGATTTATCTGCTTAACCCAAGAGCTGTATTTGCATATGGGTAAATATATCAATAATCATGAATATAATCAGACAGAATTCATAAAAATTACAGCATTCTGCTGCTGATTTGTGCTGCTGTAGAGGCTCTGGATGTGTGACCATGCAGAGGGCCATGCAAAGAGACTCATGGGTGGCATGTGACCCCCTGAAAAAGTGACATTTTATGTTGTTGTTCCATCATTTAAAGGTGTGTGTTTGTGTTTATTGGGCGGTGTGGTTAGTAGAGTGAAGAGCTATGGCAAGTAGATCCCTGGCCTGCTGTCCCCACCTGTTTTATGTGCCTTTCTGCTGGTGTCAATAAAAAGATCACTTCTTGCAGCAGATTCATGTATTCATGTATAGTCTTACTCTAAGCCAATGGTGTCAGAAGTGGGATAGCTCCCCCCTAGCAGCCTGCAGTGGAATTGAGCTTTAAAGAGCTTATGGGTGAATGGCACTGCAAGGTTTGGTGAGGCTCGATGACAGAGCCGGCATGGGAAGGCCCAACGATGGGGCCATAACAGAAAGGCTTGATGCCAAATGTCACACATTGAGGCATGGCGGTGTTGCTGGTGAAAGTGAAACCATTGAAAAACCTTGGTGTGAAAGCACCACAGCGAACAGTGGAGTGGTTAGTGAACCAGCATTGCAGAGAGAGAGAGGCCACTGTGTTGGGTGGTGATGTGAGCCTGGACCAGCAGGTAAATAGATGTGAGCCAGAAGGTTCAGTGGAAGCCGCAGGCTGTGGGTCGATTGCAGCATGGATGGCAGTTGGCTCATTGCACTCGCCATTGCAGGCTCGGCATTATCCTGCGACTTGGCATGCTCATGCACATTGAGAGAGGCACATCAAATAGCTGGAAGCTGACCATTATCCAGTTCAGGTCAGTCACCTGCGGCAGAGTTGGAGTCCCCGAGCAAATAAGTGGCACTCACTCCATGGCGCATCAATAATGTGGTGGGAAGTGGAGAAAGCGGAGTCACCCACAGCTGTGCAAGGACTTGATGTGGTGTGCTGTGGGGAGTTCCGCCATGTGAAAGAGGAGCCGCAGCAAGGAACAGCCTGCGACAAGGACTGGGCAGCATTTGTGCTGGCCGGGACTACATGGCCATTGACTTGGCTCGGGTTGGTGGGTCTCCAGGATGGCTGACCTTTAACGGGGGGGCTATGTAGCATCCCAATTCTGCTCATTGTTGACAGCTGTTCCAAGAGTTCTTCTCCCCGTCACCTTTATTTACACACCAACACTCAGGCTTATATACATATTTACACGCGCACACATCACAAACAAAAACAAAACGAAAATAGTCTCTACAACTATACAATGGACCAATGACTGCAAAGTCATATAGGTCTATACTCATCACCTTCAAACCTCCACCAAGCTGAAAGAAGGGATCTCTCCCATACCCTCCAGTAATGCTTCTTATATTTGGGGTGCTCCTCCCCTAGAATATACCATTACTGGCCCGGGTTAAAACAAGCACTTAATCTATTTAAATATATTTACATGCAACAGTAAATAATTTGTGATCTTCCTTACTGATCAGATTTATATTCACAACGTCATTAATATGCATATACAATACAGTGTACACTTCTTAAACAGTTTTACTCTTCCTGCAGGTTTTGTCCTTCCCTCCTCCTCTACAGAGGATGGACTCACCCAGGTGAGTAAATCACAGGTGAACCCATTCAGTTCTCTTTGCTCCTCAAAGCAAGGATAACCAGTCTTCAAACAAGTACAGGTAAGTGTTTACAACCAGTCATTATATTGTGATGTGTAAAGGAGTTCTTTACATCATCACAGTACCACAATGTTGTAGCACGTATGTCTTACCTGCTTTATCCAGAATATGAGAGTAGTATAGTGGTAGATTGTGTCTGCAGTATCTATCCACTTCAGCTCTCTCCTGCACTACTTCAGGTCCCTTGTTCCAGCGCTCTGCATTCTTCACTCCGAGCTCAGTGAACCCTACAAACTCCCCCACCGTGCTGTTAAATCGTATATATGGGTCCTTATTAAAATAAATTGTATCAATGAATTCCAAATCTGAGAGATCTGATGAACTGGAGACACAGTCTTTCACTCTGTAGTGATTATATCCATCTGGAAATTATAGGAAGCAGATAAGAAACGAAACAATAAATAGATCAGTTACAGGAACAGTAATGTGACAAGAAAAAAACAAAATAAAACATAAATGCTGTTAAACACTGTGACCATTTAGGCTTGAAGCACTTTACACTGAATAAATTGGTTCTTAACATATAAAAATGTACAGTCTAAGACGTTTTCTGTCATAATTTGTACATCATTATTCTATTAATTAACCTTGAACTGTTTAAGGATGTTTTATAAACAGACTATGACATAAAAGCTTTTTTGAAACATTCAAAACAACCTGTGGTACATAAACAAAAATGAAAAGCAGTGTTTCCTCTCTAACAGTCATTACAGAATAAAGAATCTAACAGGAAATCTACTTAATTCCATTTAAAAAGCTGATAATATGACTGTAAATGTAAACAGACCTGCTCTCAGACTCAGAGCGAGCAGCAGCTGCAGAATCAGGATCATCTTGTCTCGACATCCAACAGCAACTGAGAGAGTTTAAGAGAGTGACTTCCTGATCATACAGACTCACTGACCAATCAGGATCTGCTATACTACTGCATCACATGTTACTAAGCAGATACGAGTACAATTTAATGTAAATGTTCAAAAAAAGGGTTCAAGTCTTAGGCCAAATGGTTTAATTGTAGACTGTCATTGAACACTGGATCATTCTGCACAACTGGCTCAAAGTCTGAGTTCCACAAATTTGGACTTTTAACTGAGTTTAAAGCCTTTAGCTGTGACTGGCCCTTTACCTTAACTATGTTTACTTTATTAAAGTAAATAATCCGATCATCACACTACCGAAATGTTAGCAAATGTTTCCCCATTGCAATTTTAGCTCATTTTGAGCAGAACTCAACGACACTAGGCAGTACATGACTAGCAAACACAGATTGAACAGCTGTACACACATAAGCATGGCTAAAACAAGGCTGTGCCTACAGACTAAGGCCCAATCCCATTTCTTCTTTTTACCCCTACCCCTTGTTTTTAGCGTCACCCTAACCCCTTGGAACTGAGTTACAAGTTGTAGTGGTTGAAATCGTCCCTATGAAATGGAAACCTGAAATAAAAAAGAATGTTACTTCATTAACAGCTACTAGCGCTGCTCTGTAGGCGACCCTGCCAGTCTGCAGTGACAGCAGAGGAGGGTAAAGTTCAGCTCCTCACTGCTGGGCTTTAGTTACAGTTATAAGACAAGTATTCATTATCGCCCACCACTAATTCTTTGGTGATTTGAAGCTAAAGTCAGATATTCACCAGATTCTTGTTTGAATTTTCCTGTTCCGCCTTAAATGGAGCAACAGTTACATTCTGACACTTCAGGCGTCAGAACTGCTGGACTATTTAAGGTGGAACAGGAAAATTAGCTAGCTAGCTACCAAGACATTAGCATGTCATTAGCGGTTTTGTTATGCTTGTTGTGAAGAAAACGACCATAATACATTGAAACAACATTAAACTAAGATAAAACAGTGGTTATTGTCATTTTTAACTGAGAGAATTCTCATATTTGTGGGTTTCTTTGGTCTCGTGTGCTTTTCTTTTTTCTCATAACTCTCTGTTTGGAGTGTCTCTGAAAAACCTCCATTTGCAGGACCATGTGGCCCTAACACTTCATCCTACCTCTCTATCTCAACAAAAATTGGGACACCCTACCCCTAGACGTGAACGTGCAAAACCGAGGGGTAGGGCTAAGTGGTAGGGGTGAAATGGGATTGGGCCTAAAACTGTGTTTCTGTAGTGACATGAAAATGTGGGGTAGTATTTTTTTTAATGAAAAATTAAACTCCTGATGAATCTAAATCTTTCACCTTCACTTTAACCCAGTAAACGGCCAGAGCCCAAAGTTTTACACACTTCTATAACCTGAGAATAGCTCAACCAGTTTGCAGTAAAGTCCCTGTAGTTAAGTCGGAACCGCAGTATAAAAAGTAATGTAGCTCTCCAGGACCAGGGTTTGGAACCACTGATAGAATAATAATAGAGATGAATTTTGTTTAATTGTATAAAATGTATCATGTGTCTGTGTGATGTGTTACGACTGGTTAAATGGTTTTTCTTACTTTAACCATAGAGAAAAATATCATGTCATGTGTTTGTATTAAGATCAGTAAAAGTGGGTTACATCCTTCAGCTTACATGCATTACTGAATGATGTATTATTTACTTTAAAGTACTTTTAGTACACTAGTTACAGTACTGAAGTAACATCTGACTGCATTGTAAAAATGAAATACATTTATAGTGATTGTAATGATCAAGGTAAGGTAGCTCCAGTGTTTAAAAGATAAATATTTCATTTTTGTGCATTTGATCAGGATGTAATGCCATCCGTTCCTGTGATCTGTCTGCAACCTCATTTCCAAAAAAGTTGGGCTGTTGTGCAAAATGTAAATGAAAACAAAATGCAATTCATATATTTAATTGAAAATAGTACAAAGACAACATATCAAATGTTGAAACTGAGAAATGTTATTGTTTTTTTGAAAAATATTTGCCCATTTTGAATTTCATGCCAACATATTCCAAAAAGTTGGGACCTGGGCAACAAAAGGCTGATAAAGTTGTGTAATGCTAAAAAGAACACCTGGTGGTTGATTGGCAACAGGTCAGTAACATGATTGGGTAAAAAGCATCTCAGAGAGGCGGAGTCTTTCAGAAGTAAAGATGAGGAGGGGTTCACCACTTTGTGAAAGACTGCATGATCAAATAGTGCAACAATTCAAGAATAACGTTTCTCAACATAAAATAGCAAAGAACCTTTGCTTTTCATCATCTACAGTACATAATATCATTAAAGGATTCAGAGAATCTGGAGAAATCTCTGTATGTAAGGGATTCTGTAGTGGAAATCACTGCATGGGCTCAGAAACACATCTGAAAACACTATCTGTAAAAACTATTCGTCACTGCGCCCAGAAATGCAAGTTAAAACTCTAAAACGCAAAGAAGAAATCATATATAAACAGGATCCAGAAATGCTGCCACCTTCTCTGGGCCCAAGCTAATTTAAAATGGACTGAGGTGAAGTGGAAAAGTGTCCTGTGGTCCGACGAATCAAAATTTGAAATTGTTTTTGGAATCATGGACATTGCGTCTTCTGGGTTAAAGACTACTCAGCTTGTTATCAGTGCACAGTTCAAAAGCCAGTATTCATAATTGTATAGTGGTGCATTTGTGCACATAGCATGGGTGATGTGTGCATCTGTGAAGACACCATTAATGCTGAACGATATATACAACATATGCTGCCATCCAGATGACGTCTTTTTCAGCAAGACAATGTAAAATCACATTCTGCACATATTACAACAGCATTGCTCCATATTAAAAGAGCCAAAATGAGCTCTTCTATTGTTACAGGCTTGAAATCATAACAATAGAAGGACCCTTTTTGGTGCTATGTAGAGTCATTTTCAAAAAGGTTCTGTATAGAACCATCTACAGCACATTCTTCATCAATCTGAAGAACTCTTAAATGATGCAAAGGGTTCTTTGAGTGTTGATGGTTCTATATAGAATCATTTTCTTAATTAAAGAAAAAATATATATCGCTGCTGTCTGAAGAAACCTCATATCTCCATCTTTGTCATTTTTCAGTTTTTGACATAATTTGAAAATTGCTTTTGTCCTTTACATTGTGTGTAAATTTCATGACGAATGGACCAAGAGAAACTCCCCAAATAGACTTGGAAACAATTCTGGTTCCATTGACCTACATTTAAAGTAAAGTATGTTTTTTCCTTCTCCTGTAAACTAGTCATTTTGGAGATACGAGGTTTTGTTCCGACAACAGCAAAATATACATAGATATATATTTCAGTTAAGCACAGCAAGATTCCTTTACATCATCAAAACATAGTCATACAGTCAGTGTTTTTTCACAGGCTTTATATTTTTGAAAACATTGATTCCAAACAACATTAGTGTATTAAAATCATCTGTTATAATATGCTTCATATCCTATGATCCAGCAGTGATTACTCCGGTCTGCAACTAAATCAGTTTCATATTTAAACATTTCCAAATTTCTTTGGTTTCATATTCAGGTATGTTAAAGCAGCATCATTTAAAATTTTGTTAAAGCTGTAAAAAGCATCATTACAGAGTGAGGAGAATAAAAACAGGCTGAAATATGATGAGCGTGCGCTGCTGCGAGTCTCCCTGTAAAACCTGAAATAATCATTTAAAAGTCAGAGGCGTCGTTTTCTGATCCAGCTTCTTTTTCCCGAGGAGCTCAAGTAATTTCTGTTCTGAAAGTAAACCCCACCGCACGAAGTCAGGAGTCTGTTTCCCGCAGTTTCCTTTGCTGCTTCCTTTGTGGCCTCCTTTGATGAAGAAGAAGATTCCAACAGCGATTCCCAGCAGTTCTGCAGCCAGACCCGCTACACAGAACACAGTCGGACCCAGATTCGGGGGAGTGACCTGCACATCTGAACAACACAGAAAACACATAAACGATGCTCATACACAGATTGGAGTCCCAGTTTTCCACTACTTTTTAGCTTAATTCACAATATAGACTCAATAGAATTGTTTACTCTGTTATTATCAAAGGGTCCAGTTCTGTTCTTACTGACCGCCTGTCTTGCAAACCTTAAACTGTTCCCCACCACAACACACCTGATCCAGCTCATCAGGTAATTATCAAACCTCCATGGTTCTCATTCACTGTTACACTCAGAGATTCATTAATGAAGCCCATTAACAGAATCAGGTCTATAAGCAGGTATAAATCTCACCCCATGTTTTGGTCAGTGGTCTATCCAGGGCCGCGTGCTCCACAGTGCAGGCGTAGATATCATCCTTCTTTGGAATGAAGCTCAGACGGGAGAACACATTGAAGGTTCCATCATCAGTGACGTAATATCTGCTGAGAGAAGCTTCATCCGTCACATCTATATCATTCTTGGTCCATGAAACTTCAACGTGTGCAGGGTAGAATCCAGTGATGTAACAGATGAGGGTGTTATTAGAGCCCAGCTCCACTTCGTCATCTGAGTAGATGATGCTTTTGGGAGCATCTGTGGACAAAGAAAGAATTTCATCATTAATCATAAATACAATTTGTTCAAAACAAGCAACTTCAATTTGCTGAGTTATTTAGATGCTACAGATAAACTGATCAAACTAGATATTATTGTTTTTATTATTATTACTGAAACATTTGCATTTAAAATGGTTTATCTTCCATTAAACTCTCTGATACTGAAAACAGTTACCATACAGGTGGGGAACTTGAGGAAAGAACCCCCCCCCCACCCCCCAATGGCTGTACGTTAACCTAGTTATAATATGTTTACTAAGTTCAGTTGGACGCGTTACTAAATCAAACAGGTTTCACCACTGTAGGAAGTGTGTTTAGTGTTGTTACATGTCATTATATTCAGTATTGTGTTTCCTGTACTGTGACTGTATTTAGAACATTCTTCTGTCTATTCTTCTTTATCCCTACATGGTCATGTCTGTCACACCTGTCACTTCTTATGTATAGGCTGAGCCTAATCTTGGCATCAGTCCAGCTATAAAACTGCATCAGCCCAGTGTCTTATGGGCTGGCTAGGTGTCTGGTACCTGCACATGAACAAACTTCACTTCTCCAGACATCAGGCTGGTCCCCTGGTTAAGTTGGGTTTGGATTCTTCACCACACAAACTGGTTTATACACTGAGCTTAGTAGCTATTTGTACAATAATTCACGAAAGGGAGGGCTGTACAGTGAGGTCTTGGAACTCATGTGTTGCGGTTGTTGGCATGAAAAGACCTAATTAGACCGTACATGTCCAGTGTGGACATCCTGAAGGATTTGCATTACGATACTTTATTTAGTAGTGTTTATAAAAGCCACGCTTGATCAGACTTGATCGATTTTTCCCCATGAAGTGTAAATTAACTTTCCCTGGTTAATTAGTTATTTTGTGTTTTAAAATCGAATTATAAATATCTATAAATCAGAAAAGGTGTATTTCCTGAAGAAAATGCAGTGATTGCACAGCTGAAGCAGGGGTTGCTAAGGTGTTGCCAAGTAGTTACTATGGTATTCCAGGTGGTTGCTATGGCATTCTATGCAGTTGCTAAGTTGGTGCAAGGTGGTTGCTATAGTATCCTAGGTGGTAGCTAGGGTGTTGTTAGGTGGTGGCTATGGTGCTTTTATATAGTTGCTAAGGTGTTGCTAGGTGGTTGCAGTGGTATTCCATGTGGATACTAGGGTGATGCTGAATGATTACTATGGTATCCTAGGTGGTTTGTAGGGTGTTTCTAGGTGGTTGTCGAGGTGTTTTAAAGTGGTTCCTAGGTGGTTGCTATGGTAGCATATTGTAGTTGAAAATAAATAATGGATTTTTTAATAGGATTTTAAAGTGCAGACTTTCTGCCTTAATTTGAGAGTATTTACGTCCAAATCAGATGAACAGTGTAGGAATTACAACCATTTTCAGGCACACACCCCCCCCCACACACACACTCCCCCTTCATTTTTAGGAAGTAATCGGACAAACTAACTAGAATCCATAAACATCACGAGACGCTGAGTCTGTTCTCTGGTAATGATCTGTCAGACAGTTACTGCAGCTTGTTTCAGTTCCTGCTTGTTTTTGTGGCATTTTACTTTCAGTTTTGCCTTCAGTGAGTGAACCGCATGCTCAGTTGTTTTGAGGTCAGATTCCTGACTTCACAGTTTCAGAACACTCCTCTCTTTTATGCCTTACTAAAGTCTTGGGTTCCTTTATAATGTGCTTCTGGTTATGTTGTCTGCACTGTGAAGCTCAGTTGAAGCATTTGGTCGAGTCTAAGCAGATAATATAGCTGTTTACACTTCATAATTCATCCTGCTGCTTTTTTCAACCCAAAACCTAATCCTAACCCTCACCCTGGCCCTAGTCCTAACACTAAACTTAACCTCAACCCAAAACCCAATCCTAACCCTCACCCTGGCCCTAGTCCTAACACTAAACTTAACCTCAACCCAAAACCCAATCCTAACCCACATCCTGGCCCTAATCCTAACTTTAACCTTTCCCTCAACCCAAAACCTAATTGTAACTCTCACCCTGGCCCTAGTCTTAACCCTGGCCCGAGTCCTAACCCTAACCCTAAGGTGACATTGGCAAACCTTACTCAAGGTCATGCTACAAGTGGCCAAGCACATTACACTGATAAGTCCTAACCCTAAATTTAACCTCAACCCAAAACCTAATCCTAACCCTCACCCTGGCCCTAGTCCTAACCAGAACCTTAACTTCAACCCAAAACCTAATCCTAACCCTGGTCCTAATCCTATTTCTAACCTTAACCTCAACCCAAAACCTAATCCTAACCCTCACCCTGGCCCTAGTCCTAACCAGAACCTTAACTTCAACCCAAAACCTAATCCTAACCCTGGTCCTAATCCTATTTTTAACCTTAACCTCAACTCAAATCCTAACCCTAACCCTCACCCTGGCCCTAGTCCTAACCAGAACCTTAACTTCAACCCAAAACCTAATCCTAACCCTCACCCTGGCCCTAGTCCTAACCTTAACTTCAACCCAAAACCTAAACCTAACCCTCACCCTGTCCCTAATCCCAACCTCAACCTCAACCCTAAACCTAATCCAGTGAAGCTCCAGGTTCAGGATGGTGTCAGTGTGTCTGTATCAGCTTGTTGAGGATGTTGATGGTCTGTATTAAACCTGTTAATGTTCAGTTCCTCTCAGATTAAACATCTACAGATCTGAACTTGGACTCCAAATAAAGTGAAAAACTAATTAAAAGTCTCCTAAAAAGGACAACTCAGAATAAAGTGTCACCGTTAGATTTTGACTCATCTCTCCTTAAGTTGTTGTTCCAGACTATATCAGCTTTTTAAGATGTTTTTTGGCAAACTCTAAGGCTTTTCTTCACCTATGTCATCCACCACAGTCTGGGCCTTATTATAATATTAATTATTTGCTGACCAATGTATTGTTCCTTTCGAAGAATGTATCAGATACTTGGTTTGGCCACACCTAATGTTTTGCTCTCTCTCTCTCTGGTGGGTTCGTTTTGATATTTCAGTCTAATTATGGCTTGATTCACTGACAGTGAAGCTCAGACTAATGAAAGAATAACACATGGCCATGCAACAGTTAAGCAGCCCACTGTCCAATAATTTTTGAGACCCTAATAATGGGAAGTGATGTATGTAAATTATTGTAATTTCTACACTGTTCATCCAATTTGAATGTAAACACCCTCAAACTAAATCTGAAAGTCTACACTTTGAGATCATATTCATTATTTTATTTTGATTTGATCCAAATGTAACATTTCAGTTTCAATATGCTGGACAGCTATAATAATAGTAACTTTGTCAAAAGTTAAACCTGTTTAATGTTCAGTTCCTCTCAGATTAAACATCTACAGATCTGAACTTGGACTCCAAATAAAGTGAAAAACTAATTAAAAGTCTCTTAAAAAGGAGATGTCCAAATATTTATGTCAATGTCCAAATATTGATGGACCTAACTGTATATACAAAACAGATGAGTGTGTGGAGAACTATATAGAGAGAGATATTGTAGTGTTTTTAGATACTGAGATTGAAATGCTGCAGTTATTCGTTTTTTATACATACAGTTTACAGTGCAACACTAGTGTTTGCATTGCTGTGACAGTAAGTCTGAGATGCATGAGCTCACATGAACAGTTCATCTGGTCTTCCCTCCCTCTTCTATCCATTTTTGGAGGGGAAAAATTGAAAAAAATCACTAAATAAATGGTTAAACCTTTTTTAAATCCCCTTTTTTTGAACCGTGACATCAGTGTCAGCCCATTTTGGAGTATTTTGGACTTGAGGACAGTAGAGTTCACCCAACTCAAACTTCTTTGTTGAGTCAAAAGTTCTCCCAACTCCCTTTTCTAGTTCTGCATCTCAGTTACATAAACAAAATAGAATTTTACTGAATTTGCCCCCCAGAGCCGAGACTCTTTCAGTCACACCAGACATTTTCACCTGTAGTGCTTCCAGATGTGGATGGCTGTGGCTTTGCTGGGGTTTAAACTCACAACATGCTGATGCTGGGATTAATTATTGGACAGTTGCACTACATGCAACCAGGCTGCTTATTAAAGTTATAACAAGTATTTTCTACAGGATGTTAAACATTCAGAGTAACTTCAGGGGCTGCTGAGTGGTACAACAGGCATAGCCTTCACCCCAAAAGAAGACTGTGAGTTTGAACCCCAGTGATGCCACAGCCATCCATAAGTGAGTCCCCAAGAGGATATGATTGAACTGAATCATAGAAAAGAGTTCATGTTGCTGAGGAAATTGAGCAAAAAAAAAATTGAGTTAACTCAAGAAATGTTGTGCCATCAGCTGCTTTATACTTTTAAATTAAGCTAACTTCTCAATGTTACAGTGTACTTCCTTTTACAGTGTTCTCATTTTTTACAGTGTATTTCTGATTTTTACAGTGTTTTCATTTTTTAGTGTATTTCAGATTTTTACAGTGTTCTCATTGTTTACAGTATACTTCTCATTTTTACAGTGTTCTCATTTTTTACAGTGTACACCTCATTTTTACAGTGTTCTTCTCATTTTTACAGTATTCTACTATTTTTTACAGCATACTTCTCATTTTTACACTGTTCTCATTTTACAGCGTTCACATTTTTACAATGTTCTCATTTTTTACAGTGTACTTCTCATTTTTACAGTGTTCTCATTTTGTACAGTATATTTCTGATTTTTATAGAGTTCACATTTTTTACAGTGTTCTACTATTTTTTTCAGTACACTTCTCATTTTTACAGTTTTCTCATTTTTAGTGTTCTACTATTTTTTTACAGCATGCTTCTCATTTTTACAGTGTTCTCATTTTTATAGTTTTCTCATTTTTTACAGTGTACGCTTCTCATTTTTACAGTGTTCTTATCATTTTACAGTGTTCTGATTTTTACACTGTTCTTCTCATTTTTAGTGTTCTAATTTTTACAGTGTATTTAGCTGCTAAAGTGCTGCTAGTTTCACAGAGCTAATGTTAGCAAACCTCACTGAAGGTTAGTTAATGTGTTGTGCTACTAGTGGACTCATCACACTGCTATTTATCAGAATCAACGTTCACAAGGGTTTTCAATCACAGTGTGTCTACCTCTACCTCTAATCACATCAGCATGGCTCTGACTGACTGCAGAAGACATCAACATAGTGGTATTCTGTGGTGTTGTCTGTACAAATATAAGAGAGAATATGTAAAAGCGTATCTTTAGAGGTCAGTATAGGGAAACAGCCTAGTAAAATAAAGTCAGAATATGGCCTTTATGCATGTCCTCCTGACTACAGCACTGGAACAAACTGTCTACTAAATACTTCATACGAGTCTGAAACATTACATTATAAAAATACAAGCTTATTGATAGAGATTTTAAATGCTGGGTGAGTGTGGCAAAAACATTTTTATTGGTATAACAGTATTACTGTTTGTGTCTGAACAGTAAAAAGTACAGTGTAATATGCTGAGTTTAAATTAGAAACCAAATGGAACTAGATATAAATTAATATTATCAATTATTACTGTTTTATGAACAAAGCACTGCTTTTTCAGTGCTTGCTTTTAATCCTGCACCATCACTTCCATTGAGACGCAGCAGGAGAAACTCAATAATATGGCAATTATATGCAGTAATAACAATATGCAAGAATCACAAGGTGAACTTCTTACCCCCGGATGTCCCTTTCATAGATTTTCATTTTTTAGTCTATGTAAATAAAATGGTCTATTTCCATGAATTATGCATAGAGTGACCTCTATGCCTATACACACTAAACTCATACATGGACCTAATTTAGTGTCTTAAGGGGGGGGGCTTCTTTCTCTATTTCCCTCTATAGTTAACCTTGCAAAGTAACTTTGTCCCTACATTTTCATGATATGGTCATTACATCACTATTTACTATTTTTAGCAAATATTTTTCTTTGCATCATCTCTATTCTGTTTTAATAATTGTGTGTTGCAGTCTTACCTTTTGGTTCTGCAGGGTAGTTGTAAGCTTTTACACAAACAGCCAAGTTTTGTCTACAGATTTCCACATCAGCAACAGCCTCCTCATAGGTTCCTTCTGTGAAGGAGATAGGATCTGCAAACTCTGGCAGGGTCATCACTCCTTTCCCCTGACTGAAGTCAGCGTGCCACATTTCTTCTCCATCCAGTCCATACATCACCTCTTTCTCTGTATCAGAGCACAGGACTATGTTGGTGGACCTGTGCTGAGCTGATGGTAAAAGAAGGAGAAAAGAACATCAGTACAAATACTCACACACACTGGTTTAACCCTTTGTGAATGGACAATAAACTGCTATTTCTGCTCATAACTTCTCTTCTTCTTCATCATCCAACCGAAAGCTGTAAATATAGAACATTCTTCAATCTGCTAAGCTTTAACATCTTTAAATTAAGCACCCTCACTTGAGAAACATCGTCTATAATGCTGAAACTACTCATTCACTCTATTAACCTCGCAGTAAGAACTACACAGATCACAGCATCACACCACACAGTGTGAGTGATGCTGTTTCAGGACAGGTTTGTTTGAAAATAAAGTTCATTTCTACTGATTTCGAAACGGTTCTGAATGTAAGAGCACGAAGCTGAAGGCTGGAGACAGACACCGAGCACATGTGCTTGCTGTATATAGTTTCTAATAGAGCGAAATCACAGTGGAGGAAAGACTCAGCTGATCAAGTGAAGTCTGAAATGTGTGCATTGTTGGGAAACGTTTCTACTGCCTTCCCCCTGGCATACAGACCACCAGACCATTCACCTAGATAGGACAATAACCTCCATCAGGGTCCATCAGAGTCAGGACAGTAAACAGTAAACACCTAATGAGAGAAGGTTTAGGTTCTTTCACATGTGCCTTCTTCTGTGTTCCTCCCCTCTTTTCATATGTTGCCATGTTGTTATACTATCTGCATTGTCTTAAAGATGTAGGTCCTTTTGTTTTAGCTACATTGTCCTTCCTGAGGTGAGCACATTTGTGACCCTCTCCTGGTCCCAGCCCGACCCTTTAACTCCACAGGCAAGAGCCAAAATCTGAAGATCCAGTCTCCTGAATTTCCAACACTAACATCCAGCACTACAGTTCACTATTATGTACTAGAATATTCACTTTTACTCACTTTTAGCCTCTGTGGAAAGAAGAACTGACCAGACAAGAACCAAACACAGCTTCATCTTGACCAGCGTAGAGGAAACAAACTCACACACGAGTGGGAGCTGACTGACTACAGTCTCTCTGTGTGTCTCTCTCTCACTGACCCCTCTCAGTAAATCAGCCAATGGGATTATTACTTTCACTCTGACTCTGCAGTATCTGGGTGAGTTTCAGCCTCTCTGCTCCCTGAAAGGGGACGTATTATGAAAAACTCACTTTCAGTGTTTGTGCTCATATATTTGGGTATGTGGAGCGACTCCCAACCCAAATGACAGAACCCAGTCAGTTTTTTGTGAGCTGCCTAAGTCAGAAAACATGGGATGTAACAAGCCAATCAGATTTGACGCCAGCTGGGACTATAACACCTGTCTGAGAGTCTCCACCCACGGCTTCACAACTAATTTTCGCAAAGTGGGGCCAGTTTTTGCTTGCTGTGCGGCTAACAGTTAAGCTCAGGAACTGCTCTGTTGTTGGCTGCACGTGAGTGCCGGGAATTTCCCGTTCCACCTTAAATGGTTCAGCAGTACTTAAGCACCATAATGTAACTGCTGCACCATTTAAGGTGGAACAGAAAAATACGAATGAGAAGCTGGAGAATAGCTGACTTCAGCTTTATGTCACCAAAGAATTAGAGGTGGGCGATAATAAATAATTATTACTAATTATTAATGTGTAAAATAATTGCATCCCTCCTCTTTGAAGGCTTATGATGGCCTAAATGTAACTAAAGCCCAGCAGTGAGGAGCTGGACTTTACCCTCCTCTGCTGTCACTGCAGATGGGCCAGGTCACCTACAGAGCAGCGCTGGTAGCTGTTAATGAAGTGATGCTCTTTTTATTTGAGGGTCCCATTTCAGAGGGAAGATTTCAACCATTACCCTGTAAGTCAGTTGCAAGGTGACACTCAAAAACAAGGGGTAAGGGTACAAATAAGAAATGGGATTGAGCCTTAACCCTGGTACTCAAGATGCATTAAGTGACCGTAAAAAATAATTTAAAAAAAATTTAAAAAGATTAAAAACAATACGAGCTCCAAGCTCAACAGGGTTCTCAAGGAATGTTTGGACAGGAGGTGGACTTTATACATGCTCAGTGTGGTTAGCTTTAAATTAATCTGCCTCAAGCCACGTATTCAGCTAAAAAGATAGTCAGAACAACAGTATAACTCAAAGTTAGCTTGTAGGCCTCAGTTTGGGCAGCTCTGCTAAATTACAACAACAACAAAACAAAAAAAAAATGGTGGCTCATGTCCTTTTCATCAGGAATATCTGTTTTAATTAAAGCAATGAGGAACTTCTGAGCTGGAAAAATCTATTTCCAAAGAACTGGGTGGTAAAGTGGGAACAGTCAGGAAAAACTGGTTTGGAAAGTCCTGCGAGCTCCACAGTGATCACAGAGCCAAACCTGGCCGGCTTTTTAACGGCTATCCATTATCTGAACGCTGGAGAAATCAGGAAATAAGGGTATTTTTCACATGTGCTTTCAGTAAAGGAGTGTTTGTATAGAGCTTCCCTTAAATAGTGGCTCAGAACAGGACCTTGAAACTGAGCGGTTTCAACGTCCTAAATGGTTCATGACCAGCCAACTCTTAATTACAGTTAGGGGTGATTTGTGTGAAATGTGGAGGTCAGCAACACGTCTGAGAGGCCTGTGATGATCAGAGATCTGAATCCCCCAGACAGCAGCACTCATTTCAGTTCAGCTACCATAATCAGTGACCACATGAGCAGTTTTCTTTCTGCTTTCAGAGGTGAAACTAAACGTATTCCCATAAAGATACAGTCACACACTTCCTCTTTTCCTGATACACCGCAGATGTTTGTCTTAACTGACAATGTTTTTTTAGTCAGATGCTAAATTATGTTGTAAAAACACATGAACTGTTAGGGTTTCTGTCAGTCTAGTTACAGTCAATGTAAAAATTATCACATATTTAGTCTTTAAGAATCTGCAAACTGCTTTATTTAATTATAACAGTGCAGCTGTTATAGAAGCTGCTTATATGACACCCAGAATGGCAGAGTAAGAATTGTACACAGTCCTATTGTGTAATTCAGTTTGAAATGTATTAATCTGCAGCAGTGATATTACATCAGTGTCATAATCAGATCTGTATAAATTAGACGTCTGATTAGCCACACACATTAGTTTCAACATGGATTAATATGCTTCAGCATTTGGACTGTCTTTTTAGCATTTTTTTCTGTCATATGATTTTTCAAAATCTCACCACAATCGGGAGCTTCAAACTTACAGAACTGCTGAGTCTAAACCACTGACCAGTGAAACCACGCAACCAGTGAAAGAGCAGCAACAGAGCTGCATTGTCAGCCTCTGTTAAACTCAGATCAATACAGGCCTAAAGGAGTTCTCTAATACAGTTCTGTTCAATATGCGTAAAACTGAAGGATGTCAACAAAGCAGGATATGAAAAGAAACGTGAACACACTTAATCACACATTATCATTTTGACTGGTTGAAGCCATAAAAACAAATCAGTTTCATTGGTCAGTAAAAGATTAAACTGTAACTCTGCCACTACTTTTGAAACTCTTACAGAACAGATTACAGTTTGAAGTCATTCCTCTTTTATTACCTGTACTGCAGTGTTACTCTGAACACACTCAGGTAAAGCTCTGATCACACACTGCCTAAACTGAGCGGCTTTGTCTGTTTGCATATCTGCGCCTAAAACCCACAACAGTGAAGAAAACAGGAAGTGAAAGTAAATTTCTGACAGACTGATGTTTGTGCAGAGATTCATTAGAAGAAGTGACTGTTCTGACAATGTCTGTTTGTGACTCACTCACAAACAGAATAAGCTCAATAAAAAACAACAGATAGGCTTCAGGATCATAACATGGAAGAGCTTAGTGAGCGTATGTGTCAGTCTACACATTTGAATCAACTAAAGTCAGTGTACTTGTCGGTCAGGCCTTTGTTAATTAGTTTTCCTGTTAGATAGAAGATCTGGGGGTGTTTTCCATTTAACTGAATTGAAATGAGCAGTTTTACATGAATCAGCATAAGGATAATATATTTTGTGGCATCCTTTGTAGTTTGGTAGTTTTGAATACTGATTTTTTTTCATGCTCATTGAAGTTGCATTCAGTCGCCGTGTTCTTTATCGCTGCAACATTAGAGAGAATGTTAATTTCAAACACACTGTGAGGGGCTATTGTGGAAGCATCAAGGCATATTTTGAGCTCCACCTTCTTATATACATACATCTGAAGGCCATATCAGGCAATATCAACTGAGAGCTCATATCTGAGAGGCACTATATTCCTACTGAGGACTCACTGCTCACCCACACCCATGGTGGCAAGGCTGCTTTGTATAAGTAATTAATTTCAAATTAATTTTGCCCCAGATTCTTAAGAAAAATAATGCTTCTGCTTTTGTCTCCAGATAAACTGTTAAAGGACTTGTTTACAAATCACATGTGCTCATAGTTAATCTGTAATTATGACCCTATAATTCAATTTATAAAATGATTGCGTCTATCAACTCATATAATCAGTGTAATTGACTTTCACTGAGAGACTTAAACCAGTAAAATTGTTATAAAATATGTTTATTAATTGCAACAGAACACGTACAAAATCAATAGTCAATTTGCAGCCAATTCAATAATGTTATCCATACTGATCACAACATCTCTAAAAAGCAGACGGCTGTAATGATAATAAAGCTAAACCTGCTACTGAAATGACAGGGACTGCTAATACACTGGCTCTTAGCCTTATAAAGAGGTATCCTGGATGACCCACCCTGGACCTTTGTACCTGTACCTATGTTTCTCGGTTGGTGTAGTGATGTATGTGTGCTTGCATTTTCCTGTGATTTTTGTCTAAACCTGAATAAGAAATGTAATTTCCTAAATTATTGATACTATATTTCTTAAAAAAGACATTAACGATCTAACAGCTTTCATCTAAAACAATTAATGTACATAAACATTTAACCATCACAGTACAAGTTCAGAAATAAATCTATTGACCCAGATCTAACACATTTCTCTCATTATCAATCTAACTATAAAACTTCCACAAAGCAAAATATCAGCTCACGCTTAAGCAAACTTTGATGTTCAGTTTTGTAAAGGATTCTTAAAAATGAAACAGATATCTAACATGAATTCTGTAAACATAATGCAGGTGATTAAAGCTGATTAAAGACTTCAGTGCTTCACCACCTGACATTAAAGATGACTCCTCTATATCATCAGAAGAACCTGCAAGAATTCAGATAAATGTGTTAAAGGTTACAGAAAAACAGTTTTGTTTTGTTTTTTTGAATTACAAAAAAAAGAGTAAGACCAGTACAAAACATACCAGCAGTGAACTTCACACGAACTCTGTAAAACAAGAGAAGAAGTGTATTATAGACATTACAGTCATTCATCAATACTCCAGATGGATCAATGTCAGCTGAACTCTCTCGAATCTGACCTGGAGATTTCTTCTTGTAGTAGAGGAATCCAGCAGTGGACAGGATGATCCCCAACACAAACCCTGAAGCTCCGATAATAATCTTGTCCCTATCAGAATCAGTAAAAGAACCTCCTGCAGGACAAGAACACCATTTCATTAATGTGATAAACATACTGTTATGAATATAATGCCATTTTCACAGCTTTATAATAAACTCACTTTGAGTTCTGTTTATTCTTTATTGATATTTGCTGACAAGCACGGTCTGTACTGATGTGTGTTTATTCTCACCCCAGTTGTAGATGAGGGGCTCCTTGGAGCTGGCGTGCTCCACCACACAGGAGATCTTCTCTCCAGATGTGGGCGTGTACTCCAGATGGGAGTGGATCTGGTAGTACCAGTTTCCATTACGCATCTCCTCAGTGGACACCACATCACCGGTCACCATTTTACCGTCTTTCAGCCAGTACACATCGATGGCTGGGGGGTAGAAGCCATACGCGCTGCACATCAGCATGGCTGGGTGACCCTCACTGGCATGCTTTTCTGACCTGAGGCGGATTTTCGGTCTCACTGCAAATATCAGATATCAGAATTTTTTTAAATGACCAGTCATATTTTAGTCATTGATTTAATATGAATAGATTATTCTATGGTACTAGCTGATGAAGATTTACCCACTTAATCTCAGATCAATTTTAGGGTACAGTTAAATATACCAATAAACATGTAATAATAAATATAATCAGACAGAAGTGGCATAGCAACCGGCAGGAGTCTGGAGTGGAGCAGCGCTTCAAAGAACTTCAAGATGAATGGCAATAGAAGCAGAGCCTGGCAAAAGACTGTGACGGTGGAGACAGCACTTCCAGGCTCCACAGGGAGGCTTGACAGCAGAGCTCAATGACGGGACCACAGTAAGGTTCAATGACGGAGGCATGAGGCCGGTGCTGGCGAGAGGAAGGCCAGTGAAAGCAAAAGAGAAACCATCAAAGTCCTCAGTGTGGAAGGCGAGCAGCGGAGCGGGCGGTGAGTCGGCACTGCAAAGAGAGAGGCTGACTGGTAGGTTTAGCAGTGGCCGCAGACTGTTGGTCCAGTGCAGTGTAGACAGCAGATGGCTCTTTGTCCCTCCTGCGACCAGTCGTGCTCACAAATGGCTGGAAGGTGAACATTGTCCAGCTCAGGTCAGTCACCAGTGGCGGAACTGGGGCCCCAGAATGCCCAGCATCGATGGCGCAGTGGTCAGCAGAGAAAGACGGCAGCAGGTGGAGCACCAGCTGTGTGTGATTTGACACGGCACACTGTGAGGAGTTTTGCCACACACAGGAGGAGCTGCAGTGGCAAGGATGCGACCTCAGGAGAGGACTGGGGTGCTCACCACTGGCTGGGACTGCTTGCGTCCGGGGACTTGGCTCAACCTGGTCGGTTGCCAGGGCAGTCGACATTTGAAGGGGGGGTGCTATGTGGCATCCCCAAACTGGCCAGACTATGGACTATTAATAGCAGAAGAATGGGCTGGAGGTTAGGGAACCAGCCATGTGACTGGAAGGTCACAGGTTTGATCCCCTGAGCTGACAGTACGTGACTGAAGTGCTCTTGAGCAAGGCACCTAACCCCCAACTGCTCCCTGGGTGCTGTGACTAGCGCTGCCCACCGCTCCGGGCAAGTGTGCTCACTGCATCCTAGTGTGTGTGTTCACTAGTGTGTATGTGGTGTTTCACTGCACGGATGGGTTAAATGTGGAGGTGAAATTTCCCCATTGTGGGACTAATAAGTGTTAATCTTAATCACTTAATCTCAATCTTAAAACAGCTCTTATGAGTCATTAATATTGTTTTACTTAAATGATCCACACATGTTGTGAACTGTGTTACTGCTGACATCATTTGAACGTTATGCATTCATGCCAGGATTTGTTAAGAACATTACAGCATAATAGCATAAAAGTCCTTGTGTAAACAATGACTTAACGGTCCTTGAATTAACAATTCAGTTTGTATTTTACTGCATCTACTAAATTGCTCCTTTTGATATTGGATCATTTTATCTACAGAAAACTCATTGGAAGCAACATAAAACTTAGCACATGTGATATCAGCTGGCTAATATTCAACCATCTGTGCAGTCGTTATAAAAGAAACCAAACTCATTCATGTTAAAAGTAATCATCAGTATTTAATCTGCTTGTAATCAATCTGGGAATAAACAGTTTGAGGTCTGATTTAATCATTTAGGACCCCTCACCTCCATCTCTGAGCACAGCTTACTCCAAAATACAGGAATATTTATCCATGTTATTTTTACAATGTCTGTACAGATCAGCTCTGCCTCGTGTATCTTCTTTTTATCAGTGGAGGCTACATTTGTTTCTTACCTGTTTTCTCCAGAATGTTAGTGAAGTCTGTTGGTAGATTGTGTTTGCAGTATCTCTCCAGCTCGCCTCTCTCCTGCACTACTACAGGTCCCTTGTTAAAGCGCTCTGCATTCTTCACTCCGAGCTCAGTGAACCCTACAAACTTCCCCACAGTGCTGTTAAACCGTAAATATGGACTCTTATTAAAATAGTAGGTATCAATGTATTCCGCATCTGTCAGATCTGGTGAACTGGTGATACAGTCTACTACTCTGTAGTAATCATATCCATCTGGAAATAATATGAAGAAAGAAATAGATTAGTTACAAACACAGTAACGGGTCTAAAACCACTAAAAAAATATAAATGCTGTTAAACTCAACAACCATTTAAACCTTTAATATTTATGTAAAAATGTAACACAATGTTTCCTTCCTAACAGTCATTTCATAATAAAGAATTTAACAGAAAGTCTATTTATTTCCATAAAAAACCTATAAAATGATTGTAAACAGACCTGCTCTCAAACACAGACTCAGAGCGAACAGCAGCTGCAGAATCAGGATCATCTTGTCTCGACGTCCAACAACAACTGACAGAGTTTAAGAGAGTGACTTCCTGATTATACAGACTCACTGACCAATCAGGATCTCCTGACCTGCTGCATCACATGTTACTAAGGGGATATTAGTGCATTTTAAAGTAAATATATAAAAAGGGTTAAATTCTTAAATCAAAGTGTTTATTTGTAGACTATGTATACAAATCATTCAACCAAACTGGTTCAAAGTCAGAGTTCAAACACATTTCGGACTTTTAACTGACTTTAAAGTCCTTTAGCTTTGAGTGACCCTTCACCTTAATTATATTTACTTCATTAAAATAAATAATAACAAAATGGCCATAACATTATTGAGACTTTAACAAAAGTTCCACTACTGACTGTTAGAATTTTATCTCATTTTGAGCAGAACTCAAAAATGCTGGCCAGTACCAGTCCGCAGGGGAATTGAACCGTGGGTAATGGTGGGCCTGACTAACCAGGGCCCTGCCTGAATGGGAGACCCTCCAAAAGCCCTGCAAAATCAATAGATTTTGCTTTCTAAGTTTGCTAATTTTGATACTGTCTGTAATAGCGTGAATAAATAATAACTTCCATGATAAGTTCTGCTTATCTGCCTGATTCCTGACCCACACACTGTTAGTTCCAGGAGCAGCAGCAGATGGAGAGAGAGGGAAGCACCTCTTCCTAAAATGATGTAGCTGAAGACATGAGACCAGGAGGAGGTTGAAGTGGTGGTGGTGGGGATTTTTTTTTCTTAGAGAGCAAAAGCAAAAAGTCTCAAATCTGCTTTACTTTTCCAAATCTTTCCAAAGCAGTGCATCATACAGTCAACAGCAGTGATGGCTGGTCATAAAATTGTAACTCACACACTGTAGCCTCACATTTCAGAGCTGCTTCACTACAGCAGGGAATCAATGAAATGAGCAGATAGAAAAGTACAGGTTGTACTTGTTTTAATGTTGACGAGACAATTACAGTTATATCATGCACAACCACAGTGTAATTCACAGTATAGTCAGTCACAGTATGATTCACAGCAGCATTACACTTTTTATCAAATACAACATGAACAGAACAGGATTAGGTTTGAGGTTAAAACATTGCATTTGCATAGCAAATGACTCTTTAAGACAGCAATATACAAATTATAAATGTCTAAACAGTTTTTGACAGAGTTTGAAAATGCCATTTCAATGAGAATTGACCCAAAAGAAATGGATATATATATATTTGGATATATATATATATATATATATATATTATTGATATATATATATATATATATATATATATATATAATCACACATACATATTTTTTTTTGTATTCAGTTAAACATAGCAGCACCCCTCATCAAAACTCATTAAATTATTTCCTATGATCCAGCAGTGATTACTCTTGTCTGCATTCAAATCGGTTTTCTATTTAAACTTTTTCAAATTTAGTTAGTTTTATATTCAAATATGCTAAAGCAGCACTATGTACGATTTGTCTTAGCAGCATTACTGAGTCAAAAACAGGCTAAAATATGATGAGCGCGCACTGCTGTGAGTCGCTGTGTGCAACCTGAAATAATCATTTAAAAGTCAAAAAATTTTCAGACCTCGACAAACGTCTTCATGTATTAACGTCACACGCGCAGGCTGTAAAAGAAGGTCCAGCCTGATGTTTAGGTCTCAAAAGCTAAATCAACATTATACTGATGAAGATACGATGATGATGGTAGATAATTCACTCACAACCTCAGTAGAAACATCCCTCACCAAGCTTTGACTGAGCTCTCTTTGAGTTCTCCTTCCACACACTTACAATCATCAGACTCATGGGAAGACATAAAATGTTCCTCTGCACTTTGTGTGCAATTACACATTTCCACCATTAGAGGTCTCCAAATCCCCCAAACTTACATAGTGCTGCATTATCAGCTTCCAAGTTACAGCATGGAACTGACATAAGTGAAGTATCAGGTGCTCACCTGATATATTTATGGATAAATGACAAAACGGATGATGAGCTCAAACAGTTACTCTTCAAGTGAGCCACACGACACAAAGACAAGACTCTCAGTTGAAGTTTCCTTCACAGTTTCCTTTGCAGTTTGTTTTAATGAAGAAGAAAATTCCAACAACAGCTCCCAGCACTTCTGCAGCCAGACCCGCTACACAGAACATAGTCGGACCCTCACTGGGCAGAGTGAACTGCATATCTGTACAGCACAGAAAACAAACAAATACACAAATTTGAGTCCCACATTTTTACCACTTTTCAGCTTTATTCACAATATATACACAGTGGGATTGTTTACTCTATTCAGGTCTCTAAGCAGGTATAAATCTCACCCCATATTTTGATCAGAGGTCTTTTCAGAGCCACGTGCTCCACACTGCACACGTAGATGTCGCCCTCCTCTGGAATGAAGCTCAGGCGAGAGACCAGGTTGAAGGTTCCATCATCAGTAATGTAATATCTGCTGAGAGAAGCTTCACTCGTCACATCTATATCATTCTTGGACCATGAATCTCCAACATGTGGTGGGTAGAATCCAGTGATGTAACAGATGAGGGTGTTATTAGAGCCCAGCTCCACATCGTCCTCTGAGTAGAGTGAGCTTTGAGGAGCATCTGTGGATATAAAGACACAGTTTCAACATTAATCATCAAGAATATTTGTTCATAAGAAGCAACTTTTAATGTTTACATTATTTATGTTAATATTGTGATAGAGTGTCGCTCACAATTCAGTAAACCTAGAGTATCATTACAGACATACATAGTTGGTCTAAACAAATTTTGTTTTTTTTCTAAATATAGTTTTACATTTAATATTTTAATACAAGTAAAGCACTTCAATTAGCTGGGTTATTTATGTTTCTTACAGGTAAACTGATCAAACTAGATATTTAGAGCTTTAGAGCTGCTGTTAGACACTTTTCTGGTTTACTGTCTCTGATACTGTCTGCTATGGGCTGTTGTGTAACCTGAACATGCCTTTTATCATCTGCACATTGTGAAATTAAAGTAAATAAATGGGTAAAGAGCAGACTGGATGTTTGCTGGCCTGCTAGATAGTTGTGTACTACTTTGTCCCACTTCAGCTCATTTTTCCAGTGTAAAACAATGAAAACTGCTATCAGTAAAGCAGATTTGGCCCAGCAGGCCCACTTTGTGTAGCTGAGTTAAATGTTGGAGATTCATGAGTTCTTTAGATTGTCGTTGAAGCGTTTGTGATGGGCTGAAGTCTGAGCAACAACACACAGCAGACCGTTTTTCAGTTATTTTACTATTCATAAGAGGATTACACAGGTACGCACCAGTCGTTTGTCATGTTTGTCCACAGTATTCAATATTATGTCATACCATCTCTGTTTAGTGATGTAAGAAAACAAGTTTTCTGAGACGCTGGCGCTTTGCCGTGAATGAACCCCAACTGTCGCAACTATCTTGCCATTAATCGTCTCACAAAACCTTTGTTTTTTCACATTAGACACACATGGCTCATAAAAAAAGGGCTAAAGTTGAACAACAGGGAGGTCAATTTGTTATATTATGATCTACGTCTACAAAACAGCAGTTTCTTCAGGGTACTCAGGCCTTTCTTCTGTTTACTCTCATTCACTCACTCAGAGCCTCTGCTGTTTACACCCCATTTAGGCTTTTTACACCAAGGATCGCTGTCTCCCCCTGGAGGAGGGTCTCTAATAGTTTGAAACTAACTACTGTTAACTTTTAAGATTTTAATACAAACTGGTGCATCCTGCTTACCAGTTAGATGCTGAATATTACTGCTTTGTTTAAAATGTTATTGTTCTTTTTCTGACTACAATAATAAGTGTAATACTACTACTACTACCAATAATAATAATAATAATAATAATAATAATAATAATGATAATAATAATAATAATAATAATAATAATAATATAAATATAACATGTAGGATTCACCAGGGTCCCAATACTGGTACAAGATATCTCTTTTAAAGAGTTTTGTTTTTGTTCTATAAAAAACAAAACTGCCTGTTTTCCTGAATTATATGTAGGTTTGTGCTTTTTTACCCTATACAAACTAAACTCATGCACAGATCTGATTTAGCTTCTTAAGGGGGGCTTCTTCCCATTTCCCCCTATAGTTAACCTTGCAAAGTAACTTTTTTTCCATAAACTGTCATAATGCAGTCTTAACACATGCAGCTATTGATACATATGATTTATTATTGTAGGTAAATCATTTTCTCTGCACCATCTCTATTCTGTGTTTTATTTTCTTGTTATTCATTTTGTGCTGCAGTGATGATCGTGTCTCACCGTTTGGTTCTGCAGGTATTTGTAAGCTTTTACACAAACAGCCAAGTTTTGTTTACAGATTGTCACATTAGCCTCATAGGATCCTTCTTCACTGGTGAAAGGATCTGTGGCAGGGTCATCACTCCTTTCCCCTGACTGAAGTCAGCGTGCCACATTTCTTCTCCATCAAATCCATATATCTCCTCTTTCTCTGTATCAGAGCACAGGACTATGTTGGTGTCCTTGTGCTGAGCTGATGATAAAAGAAGGAGAAAAGAACATCAGTACACACATTCACACACACTGGTTTACTGGTTTAACCCTATGTGAACGGCAAAAATGGCTATTTCTGTTCATAACGTCTTCTTCTTCTTCTTCTTCTTCTTATTCTTCTTATTATTATTATTATTATTATATATCAGCCTTTTGTTGCTTAAATCATTTTCCTGTGCATCTTGTTCTCACTTTGGTCTAATTACTGTGATCAAGGGGGGGCAGTCATGGGCTGGAGGTTAGGGAACCAGCCTTGCGACCAGAAGGTCGCCAGTTCAATCCCCTGAGCCAACAATATGTGATCAAAGTGCCCTTAGGCAAGGCACCTAACCCCCAACTGCTCCCCGGGCACTGTGGATAGGGTTGTCCACCACTCCTGACAAGTGTGCTCACTGCCTCCTAGTGTGTGTGTTCACTAGTGTGTATGTGGTGTTTCACTGCACAGATGGGTCAAATGCAAAGGTGAAATTTCC